TTGACTACTCAGCAGTATTAAGGGACTGCTCCGCCTAGCTAACCGAATCTAGACGTGACACCTAGACAGTCATCAACGATAACGTGCCACTTGATCTAGAGCGGTCACCGAATGCACTCATGTTACCTCATCATGATTCAATTTAGCCACGGCTACTGGAGACCTTATTGATCGCCTAACCAATACATACACAGTATTTGTTGATTCATTGTCTATTGTCAGTTACCGTCGGGATACTATCGGCTTTGTGACAGATGAGATTATAAGAACGGTTTTTCTTTCGCACCATATATCTTCAGTCATACTGTTCATGTTATGCACGGCTATTTGGTCTCCTCACTAATCCTTGAGCTTGTATCACATCCCCTGAGGTATCGTTCTGACCTGTTCTCTTATCCCATGACCGATACTGATCGTTCTCCGCAATATTCAGTCTCGCATTTATCTTTGTAAGTTTTATCTAGTACCGGGAACGTATTTTAAAGAAACTGTAGAGTTTCCAATGCATTCTACTTCACTGTCGTTTGGTTCATATCTGTCCTTGATCAGCAATAATTGTTCGTCATATTGTGTGGAGCTATGCATGCTCTTTTTGACTGAAAATGCTAACATAGAATGCTTTTTACCCCATTCTAACTTTTCACTTTTTACAAAACCCGAACTTATCCTGTAGTGGACCATTATATCTGTGGCTGGAACCAATCCCCTTCCTCTTCTTCTTCTCCTAGATCCCTTCCAAAACGCAATCATTTTAAATCCATCTACCTTACTGACATTCTGTCCACTGATCCATTACCTTGTAAGTCCTGCCTCGTCCTGTTTCTACCGCCAACCCTCCAGATTTCGTTCTAGGAGGTGGCTAATCTGGTTCCTTCTCAGTTTGATTTTCTCGCAACTACAAGCGCCCCGCTACCTTGATCAGAGGAACCCAACATAACCTGTCGAGTGGTACGAGCTTTCAAATCCTCTTTTTCCCCAATATATCTGTCCCGGAAAAGCGTCGCTTTGCGAAATAGGCGGGCGNTAAGGGGAGAAGAAGTAAACAGTTTTAACCTTGATGTTCACCATTTTTACCTTACACCCGATGATCTTCGTCTTTATGGAGTTGTATTTTTTTATTTGTATCGTGTTTGTGACGTAATAAAGTAACTGTTTCTGTTTGAACCAAAACATAAAACAATCTGAATGGAGGAGGTAGTGAAAGACGCGTTTAATGCCTCTTTTCTTTAATACCACTGGATGTTGAACAGTAGACAGAGCCTATTCCATAGCCACGATAACGTGATGGTCACTCAGAAGAACCGGTGACTGAAACGCCCGAGAATTGCAGTGATAGACCGGACAGGATAACACCAGGTCGCGTCTCGTACTGAGCCGGACGATAGCGAAGCTCCTCATCCCCGATCGGCATATGAACGATTAGCCCAGAGCGGGAGGGGGGGGTGGTAGTGCTGAACAAATAGGCACCCACACACAATCAGATCAGGCTAATAAAAGCAATTGTGTTATATCATATGACACTTCATTTTTACCCAGAACAGCAAGCAGGAGACCAGGGAAGCTTGAGCTTTAAAGTAAATCCGACAATGAAACTTTGAATTGGCCTGGGAACTGGGACTACACGTAGCCTAATACAATGGGCTATAACGAGACCCAGCACTTTTCATCAACACTCATTAATCCTCTCTGACGCCGGTTTATTGTGCTGCCAAAAAACAGTGGGACCAGTTAGCTGAATCGATTGATGAAGATTTACTAATAGACAAGCTGCGCAGCGCAATAGAACACACCGTCGGCACCGAAATACGACAATATTAATTTCCCCGCTGAGAGAATAAAACATCACATCCCGGGATATGTGATACTACTTGTCTCGATTAAGTGGACGGGGCAGGGGAAAGGATATGAAGCAGAAATCTATGAAACTTGTTTGTTCAAAAGCGGGAAACTTGCAAATCAATTTGTGGAGCTCGTGGGGGGGAGGGAGAGACAGAGATAGTCTGATTGACAGACGGAAATGAGATGAAGATGACGAGAAAAATGAAGGGAAAGGGGAATTCAAGCAACTACATGAAACTTCGCTTTGCTGCAAATGAAAAACAAAGGTTTCTTTTAATGCGAACGTCATCACGGACCACATACATGTGATGATCTGTTAGACAGATAGATAGATATCAGAAAAGAATGCATGAATCGAGGCGGTATAAAACAGACGGGCAGTGGAACACACATTCAAAGAGTTGGTATGAAATTGCTAAGCGGCACACAGAACTATCTCCATTAGTCTAAAGCCTCGGAAGAAACAGGGCTTGTGTGTGTGAAGGGGGCAGGAGAAAGAAAGGTATTTTCGATCGAGAGGACAGTGGGTGATCAATATAATTTTGCAGCTTCATGACAAATCCAAACACTCACTGGTTGTTGTTGTTCGGCGGTTGAAGGAGACAGGAGGACGAGGGATCTACCATATGGTAACTCATAGGAATAAGGATGGCGCTGAAGGGGTGGGGAAACCCTTTCGGGCATAGCATGTGGGAAATGAATGAACAGGGGGGGAAAATACTTGTCCCACTTTTGTCTATGCCCGTTTGAGTATCACAGTAGTTAGGAGCGACAGGGCATTCTGTCATTTGCACAAGGAGTGGGGGTGATGGTAGTGGTCAACAAACGGAGGATTGGCAATTTTTCAATTCTTTCAATCTGCATAATGTGTATGTGTGTGTGGGTGTGGATGTATCATCAGTGATGTCGTGATGGCTGAACAGTTTGCTGATTATTTGGTAGTTTCCAGTGTGGATGAAACAATTTCCAATTCGCTCGACGATTGACCAGCGGCATCAGAGATCAGAGATAGATCGAGAATACCCTGTTCAATTGAATCCAACGGAGAATGTTCCGCTGTCGACTAGCGGGGAGTAGAGGGTGGACGGGTGCATGGATAAGATTATAAATACAAGAAAATGATGAGAGAAGAAATCTAGTAATAGTACGTGAAAACCATGATTACACAGACATACCTCGGTGTGAAAATAATGAAAAAATAGATGTAAACCAGTAATAAAGCGTTGAAGCTGTCAATTATTTTTGTTCGAAAGGATCTTGGTTGTCTTCGCGCTCAGACAAAATTCCACTTTGATGTACACGCGAATCAACGATTTCAACCGCTTCGTATTCGAGATGCAGGTGGGAACTCAGCCGCATTGTGTTAATCATAAGTGTAGCAAGTTAGTCAACGGTCTTTAGTGTACGTAACCGGGCCGCAGGGTCGCTCGAACGTTTCCTGCGGCCCGGTTACGTACACAATTCACCAGCCGATCTTTGTTATCATTGAACCTCAAAGATAAATTGCCTATCCTCACTTCCTTCATGTTGACCTATTCTTTTGTTTGCTCATGTTCGGCAAGCTACATAGGCAGGACGATCGGGCAGTTTTCTCAAAGAATCAAGGAACACAAACCGGCTTGGTTAAACACAGGAACCATAAGGGCCGTTTCGAGTGCAATCACGGCGCACCTCGTAGATACCGGACATCAGATAACTGAGGATGCGTTCAAAATTATCTACAAGGTACCCCAAAACCCTCCGACAGCGCCATCTTGCGACAGTAGAGGCGGTGGCAATAAGGTTATTGCGACCAACTCTATGCTCACAAAAACGATTCGTCAAAGCCGTACAGTTACCCTTGCCCAGACCCGACACTCAACTTCAATTAACCCATGACCCTTTGACCTAAGTGTGTGACATCTCCCTTCCTGTTCCATCCTTCTTCCCTCTGCCTCTCATTTCTCTGTTTTCACGATTCCCCATTCGAAAACCACGGATAAACAATTTTGGTTATTGGTGTTCACCTCTTTCCCAACCACTTCTCACCACTCCCTTGCCGTCTAATCAATACATTTTCGTTCTGACATTATTTGTTGCACGTTTATTCACTAAATGTATATAACTGTATTAGCTAGAGGATGAAGTTATCGAAAACGAGCTTGTTCGCTACTCTTGTTGTTCAGTCAATGTCACAATGGGAATTTTCAGTGAATACAGACTTCGTGTACAATTCCCATTGCTAAAAATCTTTTTAACTGTGACTTTGTTTCAAAAGAAGGGGTGAATTTCGGGAGTATTTCTACGTTGCGCCTTTGCCGTGTAGCGAATCGTGCTAACATTTAAATCTGAGCGTGATGACCAATATATCGATCCACCCTTACATGGCTTATCCGATCGACAAGAGTCAATTACAGCCAGATTCGTTCATTCCCGTCTAAAGCTCAATCGATCAATCTTCCACTTTCTCGGGGCGTAGGGACGTATGGTCACACTGGATCGCACCGAAGCCTTCATTATTCGTTCACAAAGAAAGATTTCTCTTTAGGGACAAATCGATTAATTTGGACTGGTTAGCGCGCTGTGATAGTCCCGGTTCCATTGGTGAATCTTGACGGGCGAAGCGCAAATCCAATTCTGGGATCCTCAAATGAATGCGAGGTTGATGGATTCCCCTGGAAGTTACGGCAGTTTCAGTTGAAGTTATTATGGCACAACTTTGTGATTCAGTTTGTTTAGTAGCCTGTTGTCAAATGTTCCGCGCCTAGAAGAGATAACAACACCAGCGAGTACAGATTGATACTCTGCAAGAAAAACAGAACTGGACTGGGCCACCTGATGTAGTTGGGTACCAGACCTCATTAATTATCCACCATTTATCAAGACCAATGCTTCAAACGATATATAAATATGATCCAAATCGAGTGATTAGTGAGTAGCTGTTAAGCTATCTAACTGAAGAACTACTTTTACGCGAAACAGTCTTTTAATTGTACCAATTTGGGACACAACTGCTGTCACTGCGGTAGTGGTTACACGACTCCAAAAGCTAACCTATCACATTGCATGCTCTCTGTTCCTCAATCCCTCTCACCATCACGATTACTACTATCCGAACTCACCGCCTTAATTTAAACAGTTCATTTCAAACAACCATTAAGCGTACACTTCTATGCGTCAGTTTTGGTTGTTGTCTTTTGGCTGCCCATTTGGGTAAAAATAGGAGGAAAACGGGTACGTTGAAAGTACGATCAAAGAGAAAATTAAGAAGTTCAGTGAAATAATGATGCAAAGAAACTGAGATGCACGAACGCCACTGTCTACGCCGCCCAGCTATATCACTCAGTGTCTCTAACCATCGGTTACGATCATCCGGAGGTTTTCGGCCGGGGAGCCTGACGGAACCTACGGAACCCAGTACTCTGATTAGGGACTTCATAATCTCACGCAAGGTCTTAGATGGACCATCCTTGGCTTTATTCCACCCACTTCCTGCCTCGGCAAACATCGCTCACCAAAGTCAAAGTTTTATCCATGGGAATTACTTACAAGCTCGTGTTTCTCTTGTCCCATAGGATATTTACACAGTAGAATCGTTACACATCGAAAAAGGAGTCACATAGAGTTCTGGGTAGGAGATAATAGAGAATGTAGGCTACTGTGAATTTCCGTTTGCTTTTAGTGGTGTACGAATGTGAGGTGTGCCAAGGTTTCGTCGAGTCTCTGCTTGAAAGATTCAACAGTGGGTGCACAAACGACATGAGATGGAAGGGCGTTCCAAGGTCTGCATACTCTAACAGCAAATGACTGGCGCCGGCAATCCAGTCATCA